CTGTCAGGATGGCTAAAATCAAAAACTCCAATGACAGTCTATGCTGGAGATGATGTGTAGAAAAAGGAATACTCCTCCATTGTTGGTGGGAATGCCAACTTGTACAGCCACTCTTGAAATCAGTATGGTGGTTTCTTAGGAAAATGGGAATCAGTCTACCTCAATATCCAGCAATTCCTCTCTTGGGCATACACCCAAATAATGCACATTCATACAAGGACATCTGTTCAACTATGTTCATAGCAGCGTTGTTTGTATTAGCTCCTCTTTAAATGTATGGTAGAATTTAAAACTATCCAGCTCTGGCATTTATGTGTTGTTGTTGTGAGGCTTTTAATGACTGCTTCTATTTCCTTAGGGGTTATGATATCCATCAAAAAATTGTATATTTCTTTTAGGTTTTCCAATTTTTTAGAGGACAGGTTTTTGAAGTATGACTAAATTATTCTCTGGATTTCCTCAGTGTCTGTTATCATGTCCCCCCTTTTTCTTTCTGATTTTTTTTTAACTTGAATATTCTCTCTGTGTCCATTGGTAATTTGGAGAAGGGTTTACCTATCTTGTTGTTTTTCTCAAACAACCAACTCTTGGTTTCACTGATTCTTTGTATTGTTGTTTGTGTTTCTGTTTTATTGATTTCAGTACTCAGTCTGTTTATTTCCTGCCATCTATGCCTCTTGAGTTTGTTTGCTTCTTGTTGTTCTAGAGCTTTTAGGTGTGCTGTTAGGTTGCTAGTATAAAATAATCTCTAAATTCTTTATGAAGGCACTTATTGCTATGAACTTTCCTCCTAGGACTGCTTTCATTATATTCCATAAGTTTGGATAAATTGTTCATTCAGTTTTATTAAAGTTTAGGAAGCCTTTAATTCCTTTATTGCTCCCTTGACCCAGTGGTAATTCAGTAGATAATTCTTTAGTTTCCATTAGTTTGTAGGCTTCCACATGTTTTCGTGTTGTTGAATTCCAAATTTAATCAGTGGTAGTCTGACAGTATGTAGAAATATTTTGATTTTCTTGCATCTGTTGATACTTGCCTTGTGACCAAGTATGTGGTCAGTTTTGGAGAATTTTCCATGAGGTGCTGAGAAGGTGTATTCTTTTGTGTTTCGGTAAAATGTCCTTTAGCTATTTGCTAGGTCCATTTGGGTCATAAGTCTGTTAGCCCCAGCATTTATCTGTTTAGTTTTTGTCTGGATGGCCTGTCCATTGGTGAGTGTGGGGTGCTGAAGTTCCCCCACTATCAGTGTATGAGGGTCAACATGTGATTTAAGCTTTAGTATTGTTTCCATTACAAATGAGGGTGCCCTGGTGTTTAGGGCCTAGATGGTGAGATTTGGAATGTCATTTTGGTAGATTTTTCCTTTTGAGTATAAAATGTTCTTCACTATCTGTTTTGATTAATTTTTGCCTGAAGTCTGTTTTGTTATATATTAGAATAGCTATAGCAGCTTGATTCTTGGAGCCATTTGCTTAGAAAATCTTTTTCCAATGCTTTATTGGGAAAGCTTTAATGTTGAGGTTTGTTTCTTGTATGCAGCAGAAAGATGGGTCTTGTTTGTGCATCCATTGTGTTAGTCTGTGTCTTTTTATTGGGAAATTGAGTCCATTGTTTTTGAGAGATATCAATGACCAATGATTCTCATTTCCTGTCATTTTGTTGTAGTTAGTGGTGCTGATAGTGTGTGTGTGTTTACCTTCTTTGGGTTATGCTAGTGTACAATTAGTGCCTGTGTTTTATGGGTGTAGTTAACCTTAGGTTAGAGTTTTCCTTCTAATACCTTCTGTAAGGCTGGATTTGTAGATAGATACTATTTAAATTTGACTTTGTCGTGGACTAGCTTGTGATCTCCATCTATGGTGATTGAAGGGTTTTGCCGTGGCTCACAACTGTGGTCTCAGAGTCTGCACAACATCTATCCTGGCTCTTCTGGCTTTTAGTAGGGTCTCCATTGGGAAGTAGGGTGTAATTCTAATAGGTCTGTCTCTATATGGTATTTGGCCCCTTCCTCTTGCAGATTTGTTCTGTGTCTTTAGTATTTTGGTTATTATGTGAAGAGGGGTCTTTCTAATCTAGTCCAATCTATTTGGTATTCTGTAAGCTTCTTGAACCTTTATAGGCATGAAAATGTTCTTTTATGATTTTCGTTTAATATATTGTCTGTACCTTTGAGTTGGAATTCTTCTCCTTCTATTCCTATTATTCTTAGGTTTGATCTTTTTATTGTGTCCCAGATTTTCTGGATACTTTGTTACACGTTTTTTAGATTTAACATTTTCTTTGACCCATGTGTTAGTTCTTCTATCTTGTCTTCAGAGCCTGAGATTCTTTCTTCCATCCATCTCTTGTATTCAGTGTGTGGTGCTTGCACCTGCGGTTCCTATTCACTCACCTAGATTTTCCATTTCCAGAATCCCTCAGTTTGTGTTTTCTCTATTCCTTCTATTTCCATTTTCAGGTTTTTAACTGTTTTATTCATTTGCTTCAACTGTTTGCTTTTTGCTTGATTTTCATGACATTCTTTTGGAGATTTATTGATTCCCTCTAATTGTTTGCTTGCCTTTTCCTTAATTTCTTTAAGGCATTTATTCATTTTTCTCATTAAGAACCGCTATCATCATAATAAAATTGGTTTTAAGGTTATTTTCTTATGCTTCAGCTGTGTTGGACTATTCAGGGCTTGCTGTAGTAGGATGGCTGGCCTCTGACAGTGACATATTTACCTGGCTATTGTTGTTTGTGCTCTTACACTTATATTTAGTCATCTGAATTTGGAGTGATTATGGGTCTAGGTGCCAATTTCTGGATTTGTCATTGCTGGATGGGTGTCTTCTTCCTTGGTTTCTCTTTCCTCTCTGGTCTTCTGGCCGTCATAAACTGTGGTTGATTAGAGGGTCTCTACCCACATTGGGGCCTGGACATCTGATGGCCTAGATGGCCTCTGGTTCTTCAAGGGTTTGCTTTTCAAGTGCGGGAGTGTGAGTGTGGTCTCTGATCTGGCCAGGGCTCCACGGAGGCTCAGGATCCTGTCTTGGCTTTTGGTGAGGTAGGAGGTTTCTGCCTTGTTTTCAGAGAGTTGGACTGGTCCCTGATGAGGTGGAAGGCTTCTGCCAGAGTTATGGGCCAGGATATGGTGATCTAGTGTAACTTTTTCAACTGGAGACTGAACAGTGTTATGTGATACATTTAACAGTGTAATGGAAATGAAGAAAACAGTTGAAATGGGCTAGGTGTATAGATCAGGGTAGAACACTTACCAACCTTTTGCAAGGCCTTTTTTTTTTTTTTTTTTTTTTTTTTTTTTTTGCCCAGAACAACAAAAGCATAAAAGAGAAAAGAAATGGAGAAAAAAGGGAAGAAGGAGGAAAAAAAGGGAAGACTGTAAGAGGTGGGCATGGGGAAGAAAACAGGGAGAAATCAATGCAATTTGAAGGAGTAAATTATTGAAGATAAGGAGCAGGCATTCAGAGATATGAGGACTGATATGAGGCTGTGTGATATAGGTATTTTGTGATCTCTCATCTGACAAAGAGGGAGAAAATAGAGAACAGAATATGCTGAAAATATATGAAATGTATCAAGTTTCTTGAAGAACAAACTCATGTTTAAAAATACTAGAGGAAATTTAGCTAAATGAATACATAGGAAGCCATAAGTGTATAGATTATAAAATGCTACAACTAAGAGAAGAAAATCTTGAAAGCCTGAGAGTTTTGTGTGTGTGTTGGGGATGAAGGTAATAGGACATTGTGTACAGGAAGTGGTGTTTCAAAGATGATTGATTTCTCACTAAATACAGTAAAGGCAAGGAGGGCCACCGAAATAAATCCCTGATAATGCCAAAAGAACATCCTTTCCACTGGCATTTTTGTCTCCAGAAAGAATATATTTTTTTAAAGAAAGACCATGCAGAATTTTCAAATAATAACAGCTGATGATCCGCTGCTAGCAGACCAGAAGCACAAAGAAATCTGAAGGAGTTTGCTGAGTGTTGGGAATCCTTAAAACTTGAAAAGTCAGACCTACAGGGAGGCATCAAAACCAGAAGTATGGATAAATATATAGGTGCACATAGTCTTATGTATGTGTGTACAGGTGTATGTGTATTTGTTGTGTGTCTGTGTACAAGTGTAATATGTGCCTTGTATATACACGTGTGTACAGATGTCAGCTCCCGTGTGTTCACAGAAACCAATGAAAGTGCTGGGGGTTCTCCTTTATCAATATTCACTTTTACTTCCTCTAAGAAAGGCTTTCAATGAATCTGTAGCTAATCTGGTAGCTAGCAAGCCTCCTGTCTCCACCTCAGACAGTGCTGGGGTTATAAATGAGCACAATTACAACCTGGTTTTTATGTGAATTCTAGAGATTTGAACTTGACTCTCAAGGTTTTGTGAGTTGCCACTGTGCCCTGGTGGGCTTTTGGTAATGTAGCTCTTCTTTGAGTCACCCATGTTCCAGTAAGGAAGCTCCATGAATCATTTATGTCCTCGATGCTCTGTTGGGATAAATAGACACATGTTTGCATCTCCCCAGGAAAAGTCAAACAACAGTTTATAATCTGAAGCCCTGGAATGCTCAGATGGTTGCAGTGAGTTCAAGGTTACCTGAGCTATGCAGCAAGCCCTTATCTCAAAACAACAGCAACAAGAATACAAAGAAAAATGAACAAAATATCACGTAGTGAATCAGAATACTGAGAGTTGGACTCAGCAATTTATATTCTGTATTACACATTCCTCTACTTGTTGCTGTCCCCAGGGTTGAAGCTACCAACACAGACATGCCTTGCCAGCTCTCTTGTGCTATAAAAGGGCAAGGCCTTCATGAGTCTGCTTTCTTCAGATAGATACATCTGTCTGCCCCAGCAGCAGGACTGCTTTCCTCTCAGCTGCAAAGAGCTGGATAAGGCAGAATGGTCTTCGAGGACTGTGTTATCAAAGTGTCATCAGTTATGAAAGCCTAACATTTTTCTTTTACTAACTTTCCTGTTCCCCCAGTTTGCCAGCCTTTTATAGGCATTTGATGGAGACAGAATTACCATCATCTGACCCTTCCACTTTTCTGATGAGACCTGCAAAGGAGTGAATACCAGCGTTCTCGGTCAACTCACACATTCGTGGCATGGGCAGATTTGGCAACCAGGATTTACGAAGACAAGCCTGTGGCACTGACTGCATTTATATAAAGCCGATGCTTTGTTGAAGGTAGAGAGCCTGTCAGAAAATGATAGAAGGCTAACAGTACCTATAATGCATTGTCAGGTGAGTTGTGGGTGCTTGAGAGAAGCCACTTTCCTCTCTCTGAAAGTCACCTTCCATTACATTGAGGCCAAAGAAAGAAGCTCTTCAAAAAGAAGTTGATGTGAAATCAGGAAATCAATTTACAATGCAGAGAGTAGGGATTACATGTGCATAGCTTCTTTAAAGTACATAATTTGTACCTTTCAAATATTTAATTAAAGTAATATACATTAGAAATTCTATACAAATTTTCTAAATACTTTTCCAGTAACTCTCTAGGTTGGTGAATAGGGCTCCATCTTGAAGAAATACACTAGTTTCATAGTGAGTATCCTAATTTGAGACTATGAATATTTAATGTATCTACATCTAACTCTTTTCCATTAATTTTAAACATTTCGTTATCTATTCAATAGTGGCTATGATTCAGATTCTTAATAGATACCACCCCAGTTTTTGCATATCTTAGTTCAGTGAGGTGCCCAGGTCTACAGCGATGTTTGTGAGATGATGTACAAAGCAGTGATCTTGGGAGTAAGTCAGACCTGGAGGTTAAGGGAAACTTTCTGAGACATGTGATTGGAAAAGCAGTACAAAGGATGCTTAGGATTGGGAAAGTGACAGGAGAAGATAGAGAACAAAAGACTCTTTTGAGGAGAGGAGCTGACAGGTCAGAGGTGAGACAGAGGACATGCCATTCTGAATAGACCCAGAGTGACCCAGTCTACCTGAAATGTGGGAGTGTGTCATGGCATGCCTGTGGATGTCAGAGGACTCTGTTCTCTCCTTCCACCATGTGTGTCTGTATTAGTTGTTTTTCTGTTTCTCTGATAAAACACCATGACCAAGGTGACTTACAGAAGCAAGTTTACATTGTATTTATGATTTCAGAGGGTTAGAGATCACAATGGTGGAGACAGCCCACAGCAGACATGGTGACTGGAGCTGGAAGCTGAGAACTACCATCTCAAACCACAAACAGTAAACAGACATCTTTAACTCGGAATGGTGAGTGGTTTTTGAAACTCACAGCTGGACCCTATTAACATAATTCCTCCAGCAAGATTGTACCCCTAAGACTCCTCAAACAGCACCAACAAATGGGAATGTCTCATTCAAACCATCTTAGGGTCTCTGATCTCAAACTCAGATCAACAGGTTTGATGGGCCTCTAGCCACTTAAATAGCTCACTGCCCCTTTATCTGTAAAAGTTTTATTGTGTTTTGAGGAAATTATCATTTATAGCTTTGGGGATACCTTGGGAGCCCTGGGACTAAATCCTAATGTGCCTTACCAGTTCTGAAAAGCCTTTAGCTGTCATGTCTTCAGTGTGGCCACTGTTCTTCCTAGACATCTGAAGCTCAGGGTATCTCCTTTTGCTTCTTCACTGTCTCACCTAAGCTTCCACATTATTAATGGTCTCCTTTCTCTCTGGACTTAGTCATTTCTTTTGGGTATGGATGTCTTTATGACCCTTTCATTACACAATGGACTTTGCTTTTTTACATTTAATTTTTACAATTTCATTTATGAGTACTGTTTTTTATGTTTTGTTTTGTTTGCATAATTCCCATGACTTCATCTCCCTGCTACAACTCTTCCCATGTTTTCCACTATGGCCTCTCAAATTCGCAGACTCTTATTTAGTTATAGTTATACACACACACACACACACACACACACACACACACACACACACACAATCACACTTCACACACACACACACACATCACATTTCACACACAAGTAAATTTCCTGTTTAGTGTTGATCACTTTGTACATTTGTTTAAGACAGACTCGTTGAAATTGGATAAACCATCAGAGGTTTAATATCCCTGGAAAAAACTAATTCTCCCTCTCTCAACAGCCCTCAATTGACTGTAGCTCTTCACCTGGAGGAGAGCCCCTGTGAACTTTCCCAGATACTTGTTGACATGTCAGTCTGGTTTTGATTGACTTTAATATTTAGCCTTTCAGTTCCTTCCTTTTAACAAATGCCAAGATTATATTAGCTTAAAATCGCCACCCACATTTTCTTCATACAACATTAATGTTAATTTAAGTGAGAGACTCATGTAAAAATTTCCTAATGCTTATAATGGTACAGGGGGACACCAACTTCTAGACAGACAAGTTTCTTTAAAATCTTCATCTAGCTCTAGGCAGAGTATTTCCTTTTCACTCACCTTGTCTTTGAAGATTTGATACTTTGTGTTCTGTTCTGCAATCAGGCATTAACTATGTAAGTCATTTTAATCAAAGCTAATTTAGTCACTTACCTCCTTGTGTTCGTAATTTTATTTTAATTTGAAATTCCATATTCCTGTCTTTCATGCTAGATAGGCTAGGCATTTCAGAATAGCTTTGGTAGTAAACTATACTCTACAATCGTTGTTGTTTCAAGAGGAGAACCATTTAGGACTTCTATCTTGAAAAACTTTGTTTTTGTCATGGAAGTCAACCTTGAGTCAGAAAAGGTATTAACCCTTCCTGTAAGAACTCTTTTTAAAGTTTCTGGGAGCAGTAGGAGTTAGGAGTGTTACCTAGGCTACTAAAGTCATACAGGATGAGGCAAAGCCTAGTCTTAGATAATCATGGAGGTATGATTGGGAACTAAGGCAGAAAAGAAGGCTACCCTGTTGTCTCGGTGTTTTCATTGCTTTTATAAAGATCATAACACTAAGCAGTTTGAGGAAGAAAGGGTTTATTTTGCTTACACTTTCACATCATAGTTCAGTATCCAAGGAAGTCAGGGAAAGAGCTCAAAGCAGAAAGTTGGATGCAGGAGCAGATGCAGAGGCCGTAGACATAGAAGAGTGCTCACTATGAGCTTATTTACTCACGGCTTGTTCAGTATGCTCTCTTATATCACCCATGACCACCTGTGCAAGATAAGTGTCTCCCACAGCAAGCTGGGCCATCCAGCATCAATCTTCAATCAAGAAAATGCTCTAGAGACTTGCCTATGGTCTACTCCTATGAAATAATTTTCAAATAAGACCCCTTCTCTTCTTACCAGGTAACCCCGACTCATGTCCAGCTGGCATAAAAACTAACAAGTATACCCTGGGCCAAAGAAGCAGGATGTGTCCATCTGAGTGAGACTACATTTATACTATAATGAAAAAGACTTGCAATCATTGCCAATTGATTAGTTGCTCTGCCCCAGAATGTACGACTAAAGAGAATAGGTATAGAGGGAAGTCAGATAATAGGTGACGAGGGTTCTGTCAGGAGAAATGTGTCCCACAGTACAGTATAGTGATGATAGTTTGTAACAACTCCCCATTTATCTTACGCAGTAGTAGAAAGGAGTCCAAAGGCTCCAAACAGGAAGACATAATAAGCATCTGCAACTGCTAATTATCTTGATTTGATCATTACATCTTGCAGATGTGAGCTAAATTATCACGGTTTATACTGTAGACACGTACAATTATTATGTGTTGGTCAGGAAGAGAAAATGAAATTGCAAGTGGAATGGCAGATAACACTGGGGACAAAAAAATGGCAAATGTCAGATAATATACTTAGAAAAAGTCACCCAGAGGACAACAAACACTGAGAGATCACCTGAAGAAAAAAAAGATCTAAAAACAATATAGAGACAAGGAACAGAAAATTAGGAAGGTAGAAATGAGGTAGAACCCGAGAAAGGAAGGAAGCACACGCGGTGCAATCAAGTGCATCTTTGTCTCTTGTTTAGCTGGAAGGTTGGAGATGCAAGACTCTATGGAAATCATTTCCAGCCCTTGGGCATGTGCTAATTACTGCCCGTAGGGAGCCTCTGCGTTTCTTTCTTACTAATGTTGAACAGGATACAAAGATGGCAAGAACACTGTTCCCATGATCTGGGAAATCAACCTTTATTACTGATGTTTGCTTGTAATTTTTTAGGTTTTTGTTGTTGTTGTTGTGGTTGGTGTTTTTGTTTATTTGCTTGTTTTTTCAAATGAAATTTGACTTTCTCCTGAAAAATTTTAAGAAGATTTAGAGAAAAACAATATCTTCAATGGAATGTAATTTTAGTAAATAGCCAAAGACCAGTTTTTCTATTTTTCCTTAGCCTCAGTCAGCAGGTACTATGAACCAACTACACTGAGATCCTTGAACAAGTATTTCAGAAGATTTTCAGTTAAATTTATAATGCAAGAAGATGGAAATCTCAGAGTGCTTGCAGGACAGCAGTGAAGGTCCTATTGCACAGTCTGATTCTAGCAGAATCACTTAGAGCATTTTCACATGTGTATGTTCTGTGTTTGCAAATGTGGAAAAGACAGTTAAGATGATTTCTCACAAGCATTTGTTGGTTTTGAAAGAATTACCATTCAGTTGTTGAAGATATATGAAGATGGACCTCCAAATATAATTTAGGTTTATGTTAATAACATCAGTATCAGTCTGATTTCTTTCATGTAGATTTCCAGTGAATTACTCAACACCTCTCTTGCCAAAATCACATGAAAAGGAAGAAGCCTTTCACCAGTACAGTGAAATAAGAACTAGTGACAGCATTTTCTGGAAACAGTGAGAGTCCTGCTCCATCTTGAGAAAATAGAAGAAAAATGAAGAAAGGGCAGATATAACCTGGTACCAAGCCTATCTGGGAAGAAGTGGTCTTCCTGTAGTTTGCATCTTCAGAGTCCCCCAAATGGCAGTGTATTTAAGAGATGATCCCATGATGATGCTATTGAGAGACTATTGTGAAATAGGGCCTCATGGAAGATTTAGGTCATTGGGGGCGGGGACGTGACTTTGAAGAACACTGTGGGACCTCTAGATCCTGATGTAAGCAATTTTCAGTCTGTCAAACATTCCTGCAAGGATGTGACTCAACACCACAGGCCCAAAGCAACAGAACAAGTTGGTTATGGATTGGAACCACAACCACTGGGAGGTCAAATACACTTTTTGTGTTCATTACCTTAGGTATTTTGTTATATCAATGAACACTAGTCTCAAAGAAATCTTTGATGCTATTATGTGCCTGGATAAACTAGGACCTGATCTAGGACTAAAGTCACAGTAAGTATTTTCAATTGCCATAAGTAATTGTGTGGGACATAACTGTAAGTCAGACAGAAACAGTGGGATCACTTATCTGAAGGAACATGAAAGTCCTGGTTTACAATTAGATTCTAACATTAACACATACTACAATTATAAAAATAGATAAAAATATACTCATATTTGATTGTATATACACATATATACATGTGTGTGTATGCACACACAACTTCATCATAATTAATTTCTGGCTACAATCAAGGAAAATTGACTTCCAAAAGAAACGTGTTCATTCCTCACTTTCTCTAGCTGCCTACTCTTTCAGCTGGTTAAATAAATGAACAAACTAATTTATCCCTTTCCTCTTCTTACAGATCCTAAAGATTCAGAAAGGGGTGTTGCAATGTCTAGTAGGCCCCAGTAATAAGGCTTCCTTGTATAGTGAAATAAACAGAAACAAAAGAGGTCATTATCAAACACACAAAAGTGTCTTCCAATTTGCAAGTAAAACACAAATATTAACCTGTTAAAATGAATGTACTAAGCATTGGGGGAATTTAGAAAATATTTTCTATTCAATTCAACAAATATGTGAGATATTATAACCAGAAGCATCATAAAGAATATTTCTAATTTAGCAAGCAAATGACATTTCTTCACAATAATCTAAATATCAATCTCTATTTTGTTGTTTCCCATCTAAACTTAAATATGTGGCAGCTAGCAATCAAAAGATGTTGCTTCTAGTTTGTGCTCTTCGGGTGGTTCAATGTTATCCAAATTGTGTTTGCCATTCTAATTTAGAAAACTGAGAGAAAACATTCTATGAAACCTTTGAATGAGTTAATATGAAGCTTACATGGTGTCATATATGTAAAAATGTCTGCTTTGTAGAAGAATCTAAGCAAATTTTAGTTTCTTTTCTTTCATTTCCCTGTCCTTTGTTTCTGTGCATTCCCTCCTTCTTTGTCTATTTTCATTTTCTCCTACTTTATAGCTACATTTCTATACCATGCTGTATTTTCTCATTGCAGTTCCATTCTCTGATTCACACAGCACTAGCTCACTGCAGTCTTGTCATTTAATTAGTCTCTTCCCATATCATTTTCCTTTCCTCCTCATTCTTTTCTTTTTCTGTTTTGTCTTATGGTTGGAGAGCTATGGTTGGCCTTGATAGTGTAGAGATGGTCCCACCTCAGATTCCTTGTGTTGGCATACCCAGTTTTGAATGCATCTTCCCAGATCTTGCATTCTTTCAAGTTACCCCCTTTTGACTTTTTGTTATTTGTAATGTGAAGATAGTATTTGTCCTTTAGGGAGTCTATATTGTAGAGAAGAAGTGCTTGTGAGCGCTGTTTGTGAAGTCCAACATTACACTCATGAACCACTAAGCTATTGAGGAAATGGCAAAAAGTTTGAAGAAAGCCAGTGTGAAGTAGGGATCGAAAGATTGTCTAAGGAAGGTGTATCATGGTCCACTGCTTCTCCCCATGTGGTCTGGAGCCACACCTGGTTTAGAAACAGTGCTCTCGACTTTCAGGCACTCTTGGGTGTGACCAAGTTCATTTCCTTAACCTCAGTTTGCCCCATTTTCTAGGAATACTGATATTTAAAGAGGATAACGGATGTGAGCCGATTAGCATAATGCCTAATTGGGCTGCTGAGGAGATGCTAATTCTCATGGCTTTCAGGATCTCCCAAGGGAGTGATGAGAATTAAAAAGCACAACTGAAGGATACTGCAGGAAACTCCTTCGGTTACCTATACACTTACCTTTTATCCCTTTTAATTCACAACTCCTTTCCTTCATTTAGGGGCCTTGTGAAGTTCCTAACAGAGGTGATATGAACTCCCCTTTTGACATTGAGAAACTGTAGTATGCTTTAAAATCTGAATGAAGAGAAAATAACTCAGGATGGACATTGAAGCAGACTCATTTAATTCTGAATGCATGCCTAAAACCTTCAGTTACTGAAATGAATCACATACCAGAGTTTGGTGAATAGAGGTGACAGGTGAGGTTTGGAGTACAAGAGTGAGAACTGAGTGCATGTTGCACCTGTTATAAACAAGGAAAAAGTATTACTTTGATAACTATTAATTAAATTTTTATTTCAATGTTTCTGTGAGTAAGGCAGATTTTCAGTAGTTTGTAGTTTTTCATTGCAAGGCTAATGTCTTAAATTTTAATGTTTAGTATTCTTACATATGTCAAAATGAATTTGAAATCATATATAAACATGTCATTTGCATGCTGATTAACTGTCACAATTTTCTCTTAATGAGCTCATAACTGAAAATGCACATAGTTGCAGCTGCACAGATTTCTACTCATACCCAATGTTAATGTAAAAGAATCCTTTTCTTAAGAAACTCTCTGATTAATGTGTAAGTTAAACATTTTGTTTATACATGCAATTTATAATGGATGTTAAATTGTGAATTATTTATACACAGAGCTTGGATTTTCAGATCAAGAATGTAAATACTGAAAGGTCCAACCAATCTAAAGTGCAAACTTATTGTGATCAAATCAAACACATTGGAACCCTGAAGCTAGAAACTGCACTGTGGCATTACCAACATTGAGGCAGGCAAGGGAGCTGTTTCTCACAGGATTCTGAACTGCTCTAGAAATAATTTGAGTGTGAGACAACAAGCATCAGCTCACAACCTCTTTCAGCAGCTCTGCAAACGTGTGTTCAGAGACCTCCTGAAACTTAACTGACTCTGTCCCAGCTGCTGGTGTTCATGCCAGTTCCAGTTCCCTTCGACGTATCAGAGGCTCCGAAAAGTTCTCCGGGAATGCTAAAGTTACTGTGTCCTCTCAGAAGTAGGCTAGAGTGGATTTCAGCTCTGAAAACCATCCAAGGAAATGCTTGGACTGCATGTCCAAGTGTGTTTAGGGGAACCCATGCCAATCTGGTAATTCAACATCCTCTCACCAGAATCCCAGGGCAAGTAAGGCTGTTGGATATACAGCCTTCATTCTCCAAAAGCAGCTCCTAATATACAAGAGAGTTTAACTTTGAAGTCTGGAGTCTCATTCACATATTTTTTAAAAAATAAAAGTTCATAGTACAGCTAGCAAGATGGCTCAGCAGGTAAAAGCACTTTCTGTCAATGCTGATGGCCTGAGTTTGATCCTCAGGGTACACATGATAGAAGAACAGAATCAACCCCAGCAAGTTGTCCTCTGATGTCCACTCTGGAAGACAACGCAAGCATTCTTCCCCTACCTCAATACACAAAGTAAATAAAACTTTTTATTGTAAATGGAGTTCTTAATTGGTCTAAGTAATAAAAACCTGGAGTCAGATGTAGAAGAAAATGCTGAGAGATCAGAGAAGAGTAAGCCATGGCCACACCTTATCTCCTTAGCACTTTTGCAGACAAGAAAGCAAGTTCCTGTTTCTCCCTGATTATATTCTGTTTCTGCCCAGCTATCTCACTTCCTGTCAGTCTGTACATACGTCCAGACCTCCATGGCTAGCTAGTGGCATGCTCCATTCTTTGACCCCCAGACAGGCTTTATTTGTACAAGCAAGTTATCACCACACTTTATAAAGTTCATAGTCATTGTAAGCTTGAAATGTTAAACTATCTCATTAAAGAGTAATTTTGCCTGTGTATTAATAGGGACTCACAGAATCTTCTTACCTCCTTCAATTCTCTTTTAATTTGTACTAACTGCCCCCTAGTCTCTCCTTTTAATCAAAATAATGTTGATCTCATAGACACACATATTTATTTTGGTTAACAGTAAGAGTCAACACTGCCCACTCACCAGCATTAACTAGCTACAAAGTGACTATATTAGCAGCATGAGTACCTTTGTCAAAGAATTTCCTTACTGTATTCTGATGAGTTAGTATTGTGTGTCATGCTACAGAGTCACTGAAGTCACTGTCCCTAATCCCCAAGTGAAGGAATTATGTTATTCTA